TCTCCTTTGTTAAATATAGTTTCCAGAAGTGAGAGATCTTTGCTGTGCAATAAAGCCAGCAAAGGATGCACCGTTTTGAGACTCTGATTTCAGTTGTGCTAGATGCTACTTCTTCGTAGTGCTTTGAAAATGTGAGAATGAAGCCAAATTTTCAAACGGGGGGGGGGGGATCCATCTCAGTTGTATAGTATGTTCATGGTTTGGGGGGGCAGGGAACCCTGTGCTAAACAACCTAGATATTTGTGGAGTTTTATTATTTCCCCCTTTTTGTGATCAATTTTCTCTGCTGTATAACAAGGAGCAGTGAAATTGATTGAAGATGTTATTAAAAGAACTAACAGCGTTGATGGGGAGACAGAAAGGCTGATGATTTTATATCTAGCAGAAAGAGAAAAGATGCTTGGATATGCAAGGGAGTGCAGCCCTACAGCGAAACACAAGTGGCTTCAAAACACACACACACACACACACCCCAAATGGAATGAACAAGTTTCTGAAAAATCAAAGGTGAATCAAAAGGAATTGGCTTCTGCCTGGGCAAAGCAGCCAGACAGGCCACAGTAACTGATCCACGTGATAAACCAAGAGGCAGCCGCACAGCTCCCCAGACAACTTGCCTGAAAGTCACTGCCAAGAAGCCAGATGCTGTTGCTGGAAGACTCTCTGCCACAGTTGGGCATCTGGGTTCAGTGCTTTCCACTTAAAGAAGAGGGGAGAGTGTGAAGGAGGAGGCAATCTAGATCCTGCCTTTTCCTCTATTACTGTTATGAATGTGATTGACAGACATAAATCTGAAAATCTCAGTGTTGATTTGTACTTTAGAGGAGAACTGTTAAAAATTAATAAATCAAAATAATTTTTAAAGACGTAAAATATCGCCAGATCCCCCCTGGTGTGGCATTTTGAAGAGGTAGAAGCAATCATATAGGCAGAGCCTGATATTTGCTTGAAAACATACAGCAGGGGTGGGGTTCAGCTAGGCCAATGGTCAGGGATGATGGGAACTGTAGTCCAGCAAATTTACCATCCCTGACATACATGTCTTTAGAATATGCACATTTCACACTTGAACTGCCAAGTTCCTTCCTGTCATCTTTTGCTTTGCCCCATATTAACCCTTCTTGGTCACAACTTTGGACCATACTTTCCCTGTTGATGTCTGGTAGGCTGTATTGGTAAGTCTCTTGCCCATGCTCTCACAAATTTGCTCAATTTGAGTAAAGATTCTAGTAGTGATGCCCAGTGAAGTTCTGCTGGGTGCAGAAACAAAGATGGGTGGTATATAAATAATAAAATTAAATTAAATTAAATCAAGTTCAGGCCCAGCTCAGGAGGAGAGGCAAATTTTACAAGCCCTGAACTTTCCTTTCTCACTTGGATCAGAATCCAAGGCCAACAGCTATAGTCTCAGGACCTGCAAACAGTCCTGCTCAACTTGTGCCTATCTGTGAGCAGGGGCAGACTTTGGTAATATGGTACTCTGAGTGAGGAGATAATTTGATATATAAGATATATAATAAATAGGTTGTTATTTTAACTATTACTATTATTTTGCACTCTCTTGGCTCAGCCCCCTTTGTGGGGGAACTGCTCGTGCTGCCCCTAATCCGGCACTGCTGTGTGAACTTGAACACAGCTGCTTACTTTTGTGTCTGCCCCAAGTTGATTTTCTACAATATTCCTACAATCGGAGGATTCCAAAGCCATAAAAACTCCAGACTGGAAAAGACCCAAATGTAAGCTAGTGGAAAACTGCCTTACATTTACTCCAAACATGTCTGAAGCCCCACTTTCCACAAAGGGGAAATGCGATGTTTGTTAAACACTTCAGGGTCCCGTAAGGTTCTCTTAAGATCCTCTAAGGCCATAATGCAGACTTCCAACCAAATTAAGGTCCAATATATGCCAAGAAGAATATAAACACTCTACTACTTTGCCGTATTTTTCGCCCTATAAGACGCACCTTTTCCCCTCCAAAAATGAAGGGGAAATGTGTGTGCGTCTTATGGGGCGAATGCAGGCTCCTTGGCTTCAGCGATAGCAACGCGAAGCCTCCGAAGCCTGCGCTCCGGAGGCTTTGCGTTGCTTCCGCTGAAGCCAGGAGAGTCTGCTCTTTGAGGCTGGCGGTGGGGAAAGCAGCGCTTCCCACATGGCCAGCCCCAGAGGATGGGGGGCAGCAGGAAGGCGTCACACGCCTTCCCGCTACTCTCCAACCCTCCTGTGGGCTTTTGCGGGAGATGGGGGAATTCCCCCACCTCCTAGAAAAGCCAGCAGAATCCGCGGAGCCCCTTTAAAGAGCACCCTTTAAATTCCCCCACCTCGTAGAAAAGCCCGCAGGAGCCACGCACCCTTTGAAAAGCGCACCGCTCTTGGGGGCTTTTCCCCAAGGAGGGAGAAGGGACTGACTGGCCGTTTCAGTCCCTTTTCCCTCCTGGTTGAAAAGCCCGTAGGAGTCGCGCGCGGCTCCTGTGCGCTTTTGCAGGAGGTGGGGGAATTCCGCCACCTCCCGCAAAAGCAGGGAGAAGGTCTTGGAGTAGCGCACAGGCTGCGTGCAGCCTGTCCGCTGCTCCCAGAGCTGCGGGGGGGGGGGTCATATTTTTTCCCTTGATTCCCCCCCCCTGAAAACTAGGTGCGTCCTATGGGCCAGTGCGTCCAATAGGGCGAAAAATACAGTAGTTGTGAATGAATCTATACACCAATGGAAAGGGTTTAGGACCTTAAATATCCTTTCTGATAAATATCAGAACAAGCTTGATAATGAGTATGATTTTATAATGCGGGAAAATTCTTGCAGTGACTGTCCTTGGATCTACATGAGGTACAGTACTCGCCAATCTTGTTTCGATTCAAAAGTGCCCCTGAAACCTTCCAAAGTTTCTGGCTCATGTTTATCCTTGCAAATTAATAATAATAATAATAATAAATTATTTATACCCCGCCCATCTGGCTGAGTTTCCCCAGCCACTTTGGGCGGCTCCCAATCAAGTGTTAAAAACAATACAGCGTTAAATATTAAAAAATTCCCTGAACAGGGCTGCCTTCAGATGTCTTTTAAAGATAGGATAGCTGCTTATTTCCTTCACATCTGAAGGGAGGGTGTTCCACAGGGTGGACGCCACTACCGAGAAGGCCCTCTGTCTGGTTCCCTGTAACCTCACTTCTCGCAATGAGGGAACCACCAGAAGGCTCTTGGCGCTGGATCTCAGTGTCCGGGCTGAACGATGGGGGAACAATTTACAACAATGGTGGAACTGTTTCTGTAACAGAAGGCAAGCTTTAAACATGTGCTCATCCCAAGTGCCAATAATCAGGCTTTTTATTTGCTATTAGAATTCCTATCCTGTCCAAACCTAACAATAAAGAAAAAAATATAATGTTGCACTTGTTGCATTAGGAGTACTAAACACCCAAAACACATGGTCTCAATGGATGTGTGGGTTACACAGATAATTTGCAAAGAACATCACATTCTCAGTATGCTTGAACTAGTGCACAGCTATGGGTGGCATTGGATAGAGGTGGTGACCATCAGAAGTACTTGCTTGGAGAAGGCAATGGGCACAGCTAGAGCAGCCTACTTGCTAACCACTTGCTAGGTGCTTGCAACAGTATTTCTGTTATTGCGCTGCAAAATTGTGCAGAAAGCCTAGGACAACTCTTCCTGCACTCTCCATGTGTCATGGAAACCAAAACCAAAATCATGTGTTCATTTCTGTCTGATTTTAATTTAATTTAATTTAAAATAGAGAGCCTCAGTGACAGCGAGAGCATCCCACAGGATGTGGTCAGTAGATTATATCACTCTGGTAACACTGAATGGTGCTGCAAGATAGTGCAGTCTCAAGGAAATAATGACAACACCTTTTCAACAGTACTTATTTTAAATTAAGTTGAAGATCGTTGCAAAAAAGTACAAAAAAACCCAATCATTGAATTATTCAAGAGAGGAAGAGCTGTTCCCCTTTGAATCCAAAGATGCACTTTTACAGTGTGCACTCTTGCACTGAGGACAAAAGTAAAAGTCCATCCAAATCTGTTCTTCTGCTCACACAAGAACTTGTGTAGCATCTTTGCACAAGCATGAGACTTGCTACAGAGTCTACATAATATGTCATTGGGTGAGCTCTTCTTCCAATCATTCATGGAAAAGCTCATGGTTCTTCGAACTTATGTGAAACATCTTCAACCATTAGCAAAATATATCCTGACTGAATTCTGTTATTTGTGTGTTAATCATGTGAGCTACCTCAGAGGCCTTTTTTGGCCAAAAGGTGGCCTATAAATTACAATAACAATCAATGAATTACACACTCAGAGAGCTAAAGATTACAGCAAAACAAAACAACAACAACAACAAACAAAAAACATTATAAAGCCACTATTTATTAAAATATAGTTTAGGTCTGTAGGAGGAGTCCCCTCCCCAATACCATGAAACCAACTTTTCTCCAGAGAGTCCGCACGAGACTCAATATACTACTTTCTATCCTAAGTGGAACCGAAGTTGGTTCTTTTCCCCCCATAGATGAGTACATAAAAGCAGTACCCACTGATTCTATAATCTCTTCTGTTAGTTCTGTGAAACAAACATGATGAAGAATATTGACCATTTCAAAATTGTTTGTCTGCTAAAGCTGAGGGTCAAATAGATGTGAATGGGGCAGGTGTGTTTGTTATTCATAAACCAGAGAAAATTGCCTGAAGCAATGGGGAATGAGGAGGTATGGTTGCAGAGTATTCAGCTTCTCTCATCCAGCTTTGAAAAGGGGAGAAATGAATAATTATTTTTTTAAAAAAAATACTAACACTGTCCAACCAAGATTGACTAGGAAGTCTAGTTTCATCCTGGGCCATTTATATTGGATGAAGTGATATGATATCTTAAATTTCAACCAGCAGAAAGCTTATTAGCAGAGCAATAAGAAGAGGACGAAATCACATTGCAATTTAAGTGTCTAACTCTTAATACATCACATTTTATAGTTAGTAGCTTAACTTACTTTTGCAAGTGTTCAAATAATATTTTCATGGTGTCGTAGTTTGGTCTCGGGAGCTTCTGTACAAGGTCTTTGATGACTTTCACTCTACTTTTGCTGTCTTGAATTTCTGAGGAAAAAAGAAAAAAAGAAGTTATGATCCCAGAACAGTATCTAGCATATTTTGTTTTTTGTTAAGGCTCTCTCAGACTATGAATATGGGTCTCAAGCTAAGATTGAAGTGTTACAACCATATCTATTTTTGAACATTACTTTCTAATGGACTGTATCCAAACTTGTGCAAGCAGAGATCCACACACGCACAATGGAGATTTCTCACCCTTTCTCATCTCCTTGTCTCTGAAAAACCTCTCCTGCGGGTCAGGGCTCCCCAGGAACAGCCTGACATGTGCTTCACTAGGCTGTAGTGGAAAGGGGAAACTGCCAGAAATGGGGTGATTATTTGGGGTGATTCCCCTTCCCCAGCATTAGTATTATAATTTATTCAATTTCATACCCACCCACCAAAACAAGGTTCCAGGTCAGGTTTTGGCAATTCAAAAACATAGTATTAAAATCTGTTTGAAACCACTAGTCAAAAAATTAAGGTTGGGTGGGTCCTAAACTATCCCAGGCCTTTTCTGATTGTCTCGAAACTTTGGAAGACACATTTGGGAATCAAAAGAGGGCTGCAAGTGAGGAGAAAGGGCAGAGAAGCTTGACTGTGTGAGCAGGTTTCTGCTCATGCAAGTTTGGATACAGCCCACCTGAAATGTAATGAACAAGCTTTGTGATGACTAACCTCTTTCATGGCCAACCCAAGTTACCTGAAAAACAATATTTCTACTGCAATTTCTGTGCATCCTTCAGCCTGGGGGGGGGGGGAATGAAAACATACTTGCACAGCTGTGGTGTCCATTAATAACTAGGCCTCCTCCCTCCCAGCTAGGGATATAACTATGCAGGTATAATTATTTCAATACTATAATTTAAATACAATACAGTCTTATGTTAACAAATTACATGTATGGCATTAAAAAATGGCATCCATCATCTGAGGAGAAACATTTCATAATTTGTTAATCCATTCATTTTCTATGAGAGAACAGAGGTGAAGGTTTCAAGGAAATAGAAAAGCTATGTTTGAGCAAAACAAAAAAAAATCCTTCCAGTAGCACCTTAAAGACCAACTAAGTTAGTTCTTGGTATGAGCTTTCATGTGCATGCACACTTCTGAAGTCGTATCTGAAGAAGAATTTTTTTTGTTTTGACTATGGCAGACCAACATGGCTACCTATCTGTAACTGGAACTATGTTTGAGCAATATCACATAAACGTGTGGGTGGGAGCTTCTGTGATCAAACGTTTCCACAAGGGGAGGGGGGCGGAATCCCACATATAAACAACTAGTAAGTCAGGAAGGAAGCTAAACTAGATTCCTTCTCCATGACATGTCTTTTTTAATGGGAGGGGATGCTTTTTAGAAAAGGATGTGGATCCCTTTGTGAAGTGGCACACCTCAGACACAGATTTAGCACCTCAGTAGAAACTAGGCCACAGGTGTCTTTATCTTTCTTATTTGCTTAATTACTACTTAGATCAACTTAGCCCTTATGCAGACAATGGATTGAACCCATCAAACATTTTTAATGTATATCTCTGGTGCTTATATACTTCGTTTTGTTCTTATTGTATTTTCCATAGTTTCATGTTCTCTTGTGATCAAATTCGTAGCTACGTTGACATTCTTAGTTCACATCCTGTCCTTTGCTTAGTATCCCCTTTCCTCATTTCATAACTGCCTTTTTGTAGAAAACAATTAGTCAGTAATGAAAGAATGTGAGCCTGAGACCTATAATCGCCTTTGTGATGTGAAACTTCTTTTGATGATGTGATAACAGTGTTGCTGCTGACTGACTCAGGATAAGCGTGTGTGTTTTTTAATGCGATTGATGGTTTCAAGTCTTAAAATATGGTTTCTGATGGAGATATTTGCATCAGATGTTGAAGCATGTATAGCTCTACTTTCGTTTCATGAAAGATAAGATAAAATAAATGTTAGAGGCCCCTGACACAGGGAAACCGTTTTACATGCTGCAGGTCTTAGATAACCTGAGTCTTGTTCCTAGCTTCAACCCAGTGCAGTAAAAATAAATAAATAAATTGATCTCATCGCTTAAAACCTCCTCCTGAAACAGTAAGGGACGGATATGTTTCCCATGGTAGATATGTACAGGAAGCCACTGAAAACCTTACAGTAGTTTCATAACTGCAGTACAGTCCCTTATGTAAGAAGGATTGGCATAAATGGCTTAGATGAGGGATGCAGAACTTGTGGCTATCCAGAAGGTTCTAGAACACCTCCCCCCCCCCACATCATCTCTGACCTTGGGGCATGTCAGCTGGGGTGGTGAAAGTCTGAAGTCCAACAACATCTGAAGGGCCACAGTTTCCCCACCAGAGGAATTTATGGGAAAGTATTTATCTGTTCTTGGGTGTGGGTATGTATCTATGTAACTGTTTACCTACCTACGGATAAATCTGAAACAAAAGCAAATAAATGGAGTGAAGGCTGAGACTATAGAACGGACGACCACATGTGATGAGTGAACGGCCAACTTGCAATCCACGTGTATCACAACTCTGCTCAGTTCTCTTCAGCAGCATTGCAGTGAAGTGCTACACATGGTGGCAATGTATGATGTGACAAACAGTCTGGAGGAACTATTATTTCTTGTGTGTGTGTTTTAAGAAGTCATGTATATAGTATGAAAGTGAATAAAGATTCCCCTCTCCTCTCTCTCCTGTTTTTCTTTAGGGGAGGCAGAATAAGCAAATACCAGCTGCCCCAAGAACAAAAACGATGCTTTCTAAATCTTTTGACAGCAATTCCACACAGAAAAAGACTAAGGCACAGCTGCCCTTCTGTGTGTGCTACTTACAGCAAAAGTATTTTTAATGCTCCTTCTTAAAAGGGGGGGGGAGGAGGAATCCCATGGGAAGCTTCAAAATGATAAAAGAATCAAGAAATTGTCTTAGAGCCGATTGGAAGGGTCCCAAGGGTCATCTAGTCCAGCCCCCTGCAATAAAGGAATCTCAACTAAATAGATTTCCACATAGCATTCAGTATCTTTGTGGTAGGTTTAGGCATTTGTGGTTTATTTTGTTGACTGCTCCTCCAAGTGGCTCAGTTGGATGCATCCTAGACCAATTTGGCTTGATTGCCGGCAAAATTCAAATGATCTTTTAGATGACCGACTCTAATAAGAAGGGTGAACTAGAAAGTACCCTTATTCATAGTGGATACAACTAAGATTTGATCACAAATTCTGAATTGCAGCCTATTAAACTGTGGAGATGAGGATTATTAGTGCTTTAATGTGTGTTGAATGATAGTGAACTATTTTACAGATCTGGGTCTCTTTTGATACTTGACACATCGTTAGACAATTTATGTATTTGCTGTTTGATGATTTGATGGACTGCAACAATTATTTGGCCTGCATGTTGGAGGGCCCACATAGTAAATGTCCCGTCTTATGAACCATAGAAGTGGTGTTTGTCATTGGAGGTGGGGAAACCTGCTAGGGCTTGGAATCTGCAGAACAGATTCACAAAACATGGCTTTCTTACCCCTCCCCCTTTCTCGGCAGTCCCCTGCACTGCTCAAATTCTGTTTGGAGCAGATTAGCCATCTCTTGGGAATGAGGTATGGTGCAGGTGTGTGTTTTTGCATACGGAGGCCAGAGTTGGCTGAATTCCCCCTACCCCATGACTTGATCCAAATCTATGTGATGGCCCCATGTAATGTAAAAGACCAGATCTTAATTTGGTCAGCTGTACACCTGAAACACGGTCCAAGCCCTTGTTCAAACAAAGAATTCTGCCTACTGTATGCTTTGCCACACAATTTCACTCCACAGTTTGACTTAATGTTAACTGAGGCACGTTAGACTAAAATGAATCAGGGGGGGGGGGAATTCTGAAAGAGGTAGTGAGAAAATGATGTAGAGTACAAGATCCACTGCATCCCCCAAATGTATCTCAGCACTTCCAAATGTAAAATGGCCTTTATTGCTTTCTAGTTTCAAGCACAGGCACTGACAAAGCTGGTGAAAAACAGCTAATTCATTGTTAAAGCACAGAAGTAATTTTGCACACCCCTGTTTTATGAATCAACTTCCCTGCTAATTGTAATCTGACTGAAAAAAAGAAGAAAAATAGGCAACATGTGGTACCTTTAGTCAGCATTTCTGAACTGGGAATGATAAACACCTCTGCCTGGCTCTGGCATTTATCAGTACTGAGATATTATTACCACATAGACTCACAGCATGGTTACTGTTATCATCAGGGGGGAAAAGAGGGAGCTAATCTTAATGGTTTGTAAGGCCGTTACCTGCACTGGTCTGACATTTATCATGCTCATCTTACCACATGGGTCCTCCATAGCAAAGGTATTTTATCTAGAAGGGACATCACTATGAATTATTATTTGCAGCTAGGTAGAAAATTGTATGTTGTAGATACCTTTTCTCATTATAAATCACAGTCACATTTCACCATTTCCCCCACAAAGCTGCTGAGGCCAGGCTTTTTGCCATAACACTCACTCTCTCTTTTATAGTTCCATGAAAATATTGGATATACTTTCATTAGAAAGGTTGATACTGATCTCTCTGTGTGTGTGTGTTTAAAAAACAATACATTACAAAATTTGATTTAAAAAAAATAAATTGGCACCGGGAAGGCAAAACAATGTTGATTCATTCACTGATTCATGCAGCATAAAGGATGGAGAAGGGGCAAAGGCACATCCTGTTGTTCCCACAGCACACAAGCTCACTAACAGCTTTCTTAATCTCTGCTTGCTTTCCCCAGTACCAAAAGAGTTGCACCTAAATTGCTTAAAGCCACAGGTGACTCTTGAACCACAATCTTAGTACTGACAGCTTATAGCAAGAGGAATTATTCAAAATGTGCTAACTGCATCAAGCGTGTCATTTTCATTTTTGACATGTAACATATAAAAATCAGAGGAAACAAAAGGATGTTATAATGTAGGCTTCAATACTTTGCACATTTACGGCAGGCCCCTTGGTTTCAACTGGAATTGTGTGTGTAAAACAC